TTATTTCGCTCGAATTTATCAACATGTTCTCATACAGAGTAAATTTTAGTGCCTATAACGCTGGTGAAGGCTGGCTATACACGATGCATTCATGAGGCGTTCAATTTTATCCGGCACTTCTGTTGACCAAAATACCTTCACTTGCAAACTGAAAATTATCACAACTCCCTATTGATTCAGAGAGCGGAAGAGATAAGAATCAGATGAACATTTTCAACATTTGAATCTCGTTCAATAAGCGCACGATTGTCATTTAAAAAAATTTTCATTTTAGTGTGAGGACAATGCAACTTGTTACGTCCAGATGAGACTGAAAAATGTTTCATTGTACGCATTTTATTCACTTTAGTCACATGAGACTGAAAATATAACCTCTCAGGTGCTTGATTTCAATGCAAACCAGATATTTTTCTCGATAATCATTCGAAGGATTATAGACTCAATCTATTTGTGGAAATAATGGAACTGCATTTATCCGTGGTGTTGGTGTCAATAGAACAAATATATACTCGTATCTTATAAGTAGTCGTGTCTGAATTATGCTTGGTTTAGTAGCAAAATGTCACGGAAGTTTGAAGCGGAATGCGGCCAAAATCGTTCATTTGCTACCATCTCAACCACTTATGATACACCATAATTTGAGATAATGAGCAAGCACCGAAAAGTGTAGAACTCAATCAAGATATTTAAACATGATTGTATATTTGGAGAAATCAGGAGTAAGTTGCTCAATTTTTTTTAATTTTTTAGAGCATACAGAAAATTTCTTGAAGTAACCTCCGTAGACTTGAAACAATGTCATCCTGTTAAAAATTCTTGGTGATAAATTCTATAATCCTTATTCTCGAATCGCAAATCAATACGTGTGGCTTTTCGACTACCGAGGTGTCCTATGCATAACCTGGTTTACGCTGTCACCATTTTCGAATTCCATTTTCGATTTATTATATAATGTCGGAATAACTCAGAGAAATAAAATGAACTTCACCGACAGAAAATTCCCTGTTTGAATTGCTGCGCTGTTCAAACCAGATATGAAGTGGAAGTAGCGGAAGGGAAGATAACCGGCTGAAGGGACATATTAATATGAGGTCCTAGGGATTGCAGAAGAGACGTGCAACTGTTCGACCGATGACAGAGGTGTGTAGATGCCAGTGATTCTGCAAACACGTGAATATCAAATTTAACATTCACTTTGTGCAATAGTATTCTGAATTGACGGACCCAAATGTCAACGAAATATTTATGCTGTGACTGTATGTCAATTTCATTTCACCACTGTTCTCCAAAAAGAAATGTTCTCACAAGAGAGTAGTCGACATCTTAATGAGCAATATCGGATCAGAGACGAAATTTATATAGAAACGAAAGGATTAACAATGTGGTCTGCCTTGGATCACTACCGACGATTGTCTTCACCACTGTGCTAGAAGACCATTGACTGTTGCAAATTCAATGACATCAGTGATAGTCTATTAGTGTAGAGAGCTTTTGAATAGGGCTTCAGACAGCTGTGAAAGTGATGACAGCTCACTCACATTGGATTCCTCTTTTGTGATCATTTCTATCAACTCTAGAATTTTATCGAACTCTGCTTATCTTGTGTTTCTTGCCTTGTGAGTCCATTCAGTGGAATTGCTGCCGGCTCAAGAATAATGCGACCAGGTGTTTTAGTAGAACATTTTCTGTTGTTTCGTAGTTCAATCACTTACTTGTGAGTAGTGGTGTTATTGACTGAAACTGACCATCCCCGGGCATCATCTTTTACACAGAATTCCCGATTCAACCACTCAGCTGTACATTTGTAAGCACCGAACTAGAGTTTCTCTCTCATTATGATATTTCCAGTTCCTCTGAATTCCCAAATGAGCTTCTCTCGGTACACTGAAGAAAAGAGTTCAAGGTAGAGCGTAGAAGTGAATAGGCAAATAACATTCGTGTTTCATTAGGACGTCTAACTGAGACGGAACTTTTCAGTGTAATGGAAGAAGGTCGAAGATATAAGCAAATCATAACGGTGAGCTGTTTGAAGATGTTTTCTCTCAGAACAGTTACCGCACATAATCCGAAGAACGTTTTGAGGCATCGCTGGTTGTGAAACGGTCAAACGGACTAGAACGATTCGAATAGAACAGAAGTTTATCTCAATCACTTTTTCCTCTGACAATGCAATTCATATATATGTATAATATGCATAGGAATAAGGTTCTTTCAGTAATTCATTAACTGATCAATTCATCACGTGTTATATGGCATCGTTTTGCATCGAAAATTCATGTTTTTTTGGTGAATATGGTTGGTCTCAATATTATAATTTTACTAAGGGTAAGTTATTAATATGAGGTGGGTCGGCGTTTACTTTGCGAGGTGTTTGAAGGGTCATGGGAGGATGATAAAGTTCACAAGCTAGTAACATAACAGTTACGAAAATGAAATTCAACTGCCTCGAAGGCGTCTAGGAAGCGATTTGTCTGCTACCGATCATGGTAGAAAGGACGACATGCTTCATTCACATCACTCTTGGAATTCGATTCGGCGAAGTGAAATAAAACCCACGGCACTTATGATAGTTTTAGTTTCAACGGTTCTCGCTCATCCAGGTCGGGTGATGTTCTCGAACTCTTCCAGATAAGCATTTATTCAGACTGCCTATGCACACTGTTCCACAGCAGCGGATAAAGCAGTTTCCACAAAAGCGAGGCTGCAGAAGCATTCATCTTGTCCTTGATTCGCAAAGACTAGATCATTTTGAAAGTAAATACCACACGTAGTTTGGCCGTTTGAAATGTAGTACATACTGCGATTCTCCGTTCTCCATTGGCCAACCCGTACATGGAGAGGCGTATTTGCAGATTTATTTTTCCAACTTAATGTCCTCTCATGATCAACAGTGTCGTAGCGCGCAATCCATAGAACATTCTGGATGACGGTTTCGTATGCAAACTTCCTCAGTGCAAGTATTCATTAACCTGATTACCAAACACAGCATCAGATTTTTTTTGTGTGAGGAGCAATAAACTTCTGCAACGAAGATGCTGACCTCTCCAAATCACCAGGGATACATATCTGGAAAG